AATGGAATCTTCACACAAAGGAACCTGAAATGATCTTGAACTGCTTTAATCACTTCAGGCTGCTATAACAAATACCATTGACAGGAGCTTAATCAATAAACATTTATTTCTCATGGTCTGGAGGCTGGAAGTCTGACATCAGGATACCAGCATGGTTGGGTTCTTGGTGAGGGCCTTTTTCTTGGTTATGTCTTCATATAGCCTTTCCATGGTGCATGCATGGAGAAAGAGAGAGACAGACAGAGAGAAGAGATCTGGTGTCTATTCCATAAGAGAACTGGCTTAAATTTATTGAGAGAACTGATAGGTAAGGTAGATTACTGTTCATTCTGTTGGGTTGGATGTTGTTGCTTTGATTTCTCTCTTGGGCCTTTGTAATATCTGGCCTTTAATCTTTGGGTTTTGGTTTATTTTTATATTCGTGAGTTTTTATTATGGTGTTCCGTGTGTGTAACACTGTTTTTAGTACTTCTTGTAGGGCTGGTCTTGTCTTCGTGAATTCTCTGAGTCTTTGCTTATCTAAGAATGTCTTAATTTCTCCTTCATATATTAAGCTTAGTTTTTCAGGGTACAAGATTCTAGGCTGGGTGTTATTTTGTTTTAAAAGAGTGAGAGTGTGTCCCCATTCCCTCCTTGCTTATATTGTTTCAGTTGAGAAATCTGGAGTTATTCGGATAGGTTTTCCTTTGTATGTAACTTTCTTCCTGTGCCTAACAGCTTGTAGGAGGGTCTCTTTTGTTGATATTTTGGTCAGTCTGATGGCTACATGGCGTGGTGTTTTCCTGTTTGCATTGTATCTCCCAGGAGTCCTTTTGGCCTCTTGTATTTCTAATTCTAGGTTACTGGTTAGACCTGGGAAGTTTTCCTCAATTATTTCTTCAAAAATACTATCTAATCCTTGGGTTTTTTCTTCCTCCTTCTCCAGAATCCAGTAGACCCGCAGGTTATTTTTCTTTGTATAATCCCACAATTCTTCTAAGCTTTGCTCATGTCTCTTATTTTTCTGCTCTAACTCTGTGATTAACTGATTTGATTTGAATGAGTTGTCTTCCAGCTCTGAGATTCTTTCTTCTGTTTGGTCCACCCTGTTTTTGAGGCTTTCCACTGTGTTTTGAATTTCCCTGAATAAATTCTTCCTATCCAGGATGTCCGATTGATTCTTCTTCAAGATGTCAATATCCTTAGTGAATCTTTGTTCTAATTTTTGTATCTTCTTTGTAGTTTCTTTGTGTTGGTTATCCATTTTTTCTTGCATTTCATCGAACTTTTTTACAATCCAATTTTGGAATCCTTCTGTCATTTTTGTGTTTTGGGTTTTTTCAGACTCCATTTCTTGAGAGCTGGTGTATCTCCTAGGGGGAGTATTTTCGGCTTGATTTTTTGAATTACATTGGGCCCTCCCCATCTGTGTCAATTGCTAGAGATTCAGTCTTCTACTTTTTGTAGTTTCTTAATTAACCACTTGGGGGAGCTCTTCCGCCACACTTAGAAGTTTCCCCTGTCAGGTGTAGCTTTTGGGGAAAGTGGATTTTCTTGTCTCGCCCCGCCTCCAGGGGTGGAGCCTACCACTTTCAGCAAGAGAGATGCGGGCTGAGGGGAGGCGTATCTCCCCAGTCTGCTCTGCACGCCCTGCAACCCAGTGGCTGTAACTCCCCTCGGCTATTAGACTTCTCAGTAGTTCCTTGATGGATCCAGGCCTGACGAGCCATTCGCAGATTGTGTAGGGGCAGGATTTGCCAGGAGAGACTCTAGGCTGGGCAGAGGCGGGGGACTTTCCCACTGACGGCTGGGCTGTGGACCCCCTCAATGGCGATCGCTAGCCCACTAGTAGGGCACCAGTACTGGGGGCGACTGATTAGGGTGCAGCCGGTGCCAGGTTGGGAGCCTGGGTCAATAGGATGCCCCGTAGGTTCCTCCATGCCGCCTGCCTGACTGCCTGTTCAGTTGGAGCAACACTTTTACTGACCCGCCCTGTGTGGTTTTATTCGCTCGCTCGGGGCAGTTTCAACTTAGAGCCCCCGCTTAGTCTCCCTGGTTACCAGAGGAGAGACCTCTAACCGCCTCCCCATCCTTTCACCATCAACCGCACCCTCCAGCACCCTCTTCTTCTGCTGCGCTTTCCCACCAGTTTGAGACAGGTCTCTGGCTGGCTGGGTGTGGAGGTCAATGGGGAAGCAAGGAGTTCTCCCGTGGGTCTGATCCCACTTCACCACCTGGCCCGGCAGGCCGGCGCCCTCCCACACGCCCTATTGTTTTCTTTGCACTCTCCAGAGAACGCGATCTTATTTCCCGATCACCTTCTTTATCCTTCTATGAGAGTTCCACGTTGCTCCTCTACAGATTCTCCACGCTGTCCTCGTAGTGGGGAGATCCACTCGCGCGTAGGAAACCAAGATCTGTGTCTCCTTCTCTCGGAGCAGGAGTCCGGAGAGTTACCTCTACTTCGCCATTTTTTCTCCATCCCAGATGTAGTTCTTCCACATAGGTTTTTATAATCACAGATATCAATTACCAGTTGCCATAATAACAGATCTACATACCAGGTAATGCAGTTGCTATGGGTAACAGGTAGTTTTGTTTAGGGTTAAAGGTCTTTTCAAAGGGCTTCTAACAATTTCTAATCTATCTAGGTGAACAAACTCTTACAAAGTCTTTCAAGGACTAACTTCTAAGTTCTAAGAGATAGTTATCAATTAACAGAGGAATAACAAAGAGGTATAGTGGCTCTATATTTCTTTCATCTTTGATCTAGTTATTGTGGACTTAAGGCAGACAGTCAGGAGAGAGCAGGAAGCCCATCTCTACAAAACAAATTGTTCATAACCACAGGGGTGTGTCTCTTGCCTAGGGCAATATTTTTTATAGGCATTAATTCCATCATGGGTGATCCACACTAATGACCCTCATCCAAATCTCTCAAAGGCTTACTTCCAAATACCACACCATTGGCAGTTAGGACTATAACAAGGAATTTGGTGGCTGCACATTCAGTTCATAGCAGCTTAAAAGAGGAGAATTGTGGATACATTTTTGAGAAATGTGGAGAATTGGAAACCAACATGGAAGAAGATAGGATGTGTTTAAAGTGTGAATGAAGACAAGAATTGCCTCCAAAAAAAAAAGTTGTAATTATAAAGAAAGTTATACAAAAAAGAGGAGAGACTGATGAAGAACAACAACAGACTGCTGAATTAGAATTTACCTGCTCTACAAATAGAATTGGGA